CTGTTTGGTGGGTTCAAACCACCACCTCTTAATCTTTTGATTAAGAGTTGTGAACAGTGGAATTAGTCTGACCTGTAACTCTTCAATGTCTTTTCTTCTGTAGTGGAATTGGAAGGAACTGGCCCTGGGCCTCAGGAGGCAGCAGTATTCTGGCAGAGTTTGGAACCTTGCATTTGGAGTTTATGCACTTGAGCTACTTATCAGGAAACCCCATCTTTGCTGAAAAGGTGAGATTCTCCAATAGGCTTTGCTTTACAAAGCAGCAATTGTTACAAACAATCTTCTCATCTGAGAAATTCAGTACTGTGGGATGTGGAAAAGAGCAATAAGGTTTATACAGCAATTTATGAAGTGTTGTGACATGCAGCGTTTCATTGAACTAAACTCTAAACCCACATTCTTTCCATGGCATCATTCTGACTCTGAGTGTGAGGACCTGGCTTTCACATCTGGTTCTCTGTGCCTCAAGCAAATCTCTTTATCTCTCTGAATTTTTCCTCATGTGAAAATAGGTAGTGTTGTATGGGCTGCATGAGCCAAGTATATGAAAGATTTTTTTCAGCTCTAAGTATTGTACAAATGAGAGGTCTCAACTGAATCAATTTCTAAGTTTTAGGAAACAAACACATAGCTGCTTGAATAAATTCATAGTCACCTGCACCACTCTGCCCCTTCAGCTTTCAACATGTTTCTCTGTTCCCCCTTATGGCAAAATTTCTTGAAAGAGTTGTCTCTGCTGCCTTCTCCTCCCTTCTTCCACTCTCTTTAACCCTCTCCACTTGGGCTTTTCTTCCAACCATTGTCATGGTGACTAGTGATCTCCACTTTGCCAAACCCAGTAATCCATCCTCACCTCTCACCTCCCTTGCCCTCTCAGCAATGATACAGTTAGTCACTCCTCCTTCATGAAACGTCGTCTTCACTTGGAGTCAGGCATGCTGTAGTCCCCTTGTTTGCCTCCTTCCTCCCTGGTGCTTCTTCTCAGTCTCCTTTGCTGGCTCTTCCTCATCAGCCCAACCTTGAAGTACTGGAAAGCCCGAGGACTCAAACCTGGACCTCCTCTTTTTATATTCATTCTGTGCATTATCTCATCCAGTCCCACGAGTTTCCATACTATCTACATACAGTCAACTCATGTTTATAATTCCAGTCCCACCCTTTCCCTTCAAGTCCAGACTCTGTATCCACCTGTCGAATCAGTATCTCCACTAAGAGATTTAATAGACAACTTCCACTTAAAGTGCTCCAGAGCTAAGTCCCAGACCTGCTTCTATCCTAGTCTTCACTAACTTGATAAATAGCATTTCAGTTTACCCAGGAGCTTAAACCAAAAATCTTGAGGTCATTCTGGTTCCTCTCCTTCTGGTGAACTCCAGGTCCGGTCTGTCAGGAAACCCTTTAGCTCTGTCCTCTTCTGCCACATTAGGAGCCATCATCTCTCGCCTGGACTTCTACCGTAGCCACCTAACTGCTGCTTCCAACCTTGGCCCTTTAGTCACATTGATCCTGTAAAAAAGAACAAGTGTTCAGTGGCTTCCTGTCACACTCAGAATAAAATAAGTCCTTCCTGTGACCCACAGGCTTGCATGAACTGAGCACGGTTACCTCTTTTTTCTGCTGCCTGACATTCACCCCTTTGCTTCTTCACTTCCACCTTCAGTGACTTTGCCGACTGCACTCTCTTATCAAGGCTTTTGTACTTGGTCCTCCTTTGCTGTAATATTCTCTTCCTCCAAGTTTCTGCCTGTCTTTCTCCCCCACATCCTTTACACCTCTGCTCAAATGCTGCATCAGCCTTTCTGGACCACTCTGACTAATGTGGTATGCCTCTTCACCCACAGCTACACTCTTTTTTTTTTTTTTTTTTAATAGCATTTATCGTTGCCTGACATATGTGTTCATTATCTGTATCATTCCACTAGAATGTAAATTCCTAGAGAGTAGAGACTTTGTTCAACCACCAATAGATTCCTAGTTCCTAGAAGAGTGTCTGAAATATAATATATAACCAATCAATCAATGTGACTGTATTCACTTGTTGCTATTATTTTTGTAATAGTAATGGGCTAGGGCTGACTCTCTTTGTTCTAAGTCTGCATCAGTCAAAGCCATTTACTTTTTTTTTTTTCCTAAAATGGAAATGTAATCAAGAAAGAGGGAAGAATGGCACCAAAGTTGTTTTTAATTTTTTTAGTAACATTTCATTTTCTCTTCTAGGTAATGAATATTCGAACAGTCCTGAACAATCTGGAAAAACCACAAGGCCTTTATCCTAACTATCTGAATCCCAATAGTGGACAGTGGGGTCAACGTAAGTCAAAAGAACAGCATTGTTGTAGCTCTTTATGGTACCAAGAACTATGCTAGGGCCAGAGAGAGGGAGCACAAATCTCGTTGTGTATTGAGAAAGGAAGAAAGGGGCCATGATTCCTTTAACAAACAGGCTGCTGTCTTGAGACAGAATATAAGTGTTATCAGGGAACTGGAGTGCTTATTTTTCCTGTATAACTGTAAGCATAATGGCATATAAGCTTGCTTCCAAGCTCTTGATCATAAAGGAAAGATCTGGTCAGGATGGGGTTGGGGTGCTAGCTTGAAACAAGCTGATCATGTGGAGAGAAGGGACAATTGTTCCTCTTTACTATTTACCATCAGGGCTTTGCACAGAGCACCTGTATTCCTTCTACCTCAACATTTCTCTGTTTCTGCATGCCTACAAGATGAAAGAGGAGCCCGAGTCTTTAAGAGATGAGAAACCGGAAGACCAAACAGAGTGTTTTCACTACTTAATTTGAAGGCAGAATATAAAGGTTTCTTGCCAGTAGAGCTATTTAGGAGAAGAAGGATGTATTGTACAGAGTTTTTGATGCCAGAAGCCTTTACTTCAGAACTTTCATGAACTTTTATCCAGGGGTATAAATATTCAGAGTACTTGATAGAAATACTCTCAAGCTGATTTAGAAAAAAATCAGTGTTATATTAAACAGTGACTGAAAGCAAGTAACCATGTGAAGTGCCTAGCTGTGTCTGTAATTGACAATGCCTTAACATTTTATTCTAATTTGGTTATTTTCTTTATACTTAAATATCATATTCCTAGATTATTATGCTTCATTGTTACTTTAGAAATATTTTTTAAATAATAATTTAGTAGGAAAAAATGTGTTAAATCTATGTCTATGTGTTAGTAATCACTATGGAGGATCTAACTATTGAGAGCATGAGGGCATGGCCAAATCTGTTCTTACTTACACTTGGCAGAATGTGCAAATAGAAGCCAGGCACCTAGGCTTTTAGCGTGCTTCAATCTACTATGGGTAGCTTAGCTGGTGATTCTGTTTCTTATTTGTAGCTTGGATTTTTGTAAGGATTAATAAGTGCTTAGAACAGTGCCTGCAAAGCAGTTAATGCTCAATAAAGATAGCTGCTATTGTTGTTGTTGATGTTGTATAAGTGGCTGTTAAAATAGCAAGGGGCAAATAAATAGTGTTGTATCAAGTGTCAGCAAATTTCATAGGTTGAAGCATTAGAAAAACATGAAATGTCACAATATATCACAGATGACAAAATCGTCATTTCTCTGGTTCAGACTGTAAGCACTGTGGGGATGCAGAGAAGACAAAGATCCGTGTGAACTGCCATGGTTCCGGAAGGAGAGACTTGAACTGAAGCTGGGCCTTAGTACTCCAGCTCCGTTACTCCAGAGTGATACTAAAGAGTTGGAGGAGAAGGAGATAAAGAGAAAGAGAATCTGCAAAGTTACAGAGAAAACACTAAGCTTTTACTTAAAACTATACTAATATCCAGAGCAATATTTCTTAAAAGGGTGGTTGTTTGCAACCCCTAGAAGTCCCTAAGACCTTTCAAGGCATCAAGGCATCTATAAGGTCAAAGCTATTTTTATAATAACATTGAGGCATTTTTTGCCTTTTTTTTAATTGTGTTGGCCTTTGCATTTATGGTACCAAAGCAATGGTGGGTGAAACTGCTGAACCCTTAATAAGAATTAAGGCAGAGGCACCAAATTGTGCTATTAGCTGTTGTATTTGTCACTAGAAAAAATACCAGTTTCCTTATGAATGTTCATAAAGCAGTACAAACAACTGATTCTGTAAATCTCAATACTTTTTTGGACTATTCTGTGAGATGAAATGGAAAGTACAAATAAAGCATCTGCTACATGATGAAAACTGGTGTTTGCCTTAAGAAAAGCACTTGTGTGATTATTTGAGTTGCACACTAAACTACCCACTTGTTATTTCATGAAACACCATTTTCACTTGAATACGCAACTAGAGAAAAACTATGGATACTCAGACTTGGGTAATTCATATGCCTGTTCTTAAAAATGAGCCTGTCACTTCAAGGAAAACAGACAGCATTTGTGCCTATGATAAAATTCAAGCTTCTGAATGAAAATGAAAATTTTCATTAACTTCCCAACACTTAAAAAGATTTTTCTGATGAAATTGGTAATGATGTTAACAAATATGTTTTTTAATTATATAATGAAATATATCACTATTGGGAAGATCTTCATAACTCAGTGAACCATTATTTTCAGATGACCAGTACATGCTGTAGGAGCTCTGGTAGCATAGTGCCTAAGGCACTTGACTGCTCACCAGAAGGCTGGCGGTTCAAACCCACCAGCCACTCCTCGGAAGGAAGGTTGGGCA